TTTTTTTTTGGCAGAACCGGGGATTGAACTCAGATCCTTGCATTTGCCAGTTAAGCACTTACCTTACTGAGCCATCTCCCCGGCCCCATTTCTATATACTTTGTGACAAAAATATCTCTAGCGGCAGTAATCACAGCCTATAGAAATATTCATGGATATATCTATTTCAGAAATCTGATAGCTACTTTTATTAATGCAGATAGGTCAGAACAGTTTTAAGAGTTAATATGAAAGAATTAATAATTCTAATTTTGTAAATATAGGGCTTTATTAAAAGCTTTCCTGTTTTGAAGAGACTCATTTCTGCTTTGTATTAATTATATTAATGGGATGAGGGGAAAACTCTTAAGAGTGTCCTCTTAATCTGATGTTCGCTGCTTTCTTTCTTTCCATTTAGATATTTACAAGATTTAGTCTTTCTTTCCCTCGCACTATAATCATGGCTTTTGTTGACTTTTTTTCTTACATGTTTTCTGGCACTAACTGCTGAAAACAACAGTTCTTGTCATTCCATTCTTTAAAAGCCTTCATAAGCTTCCACTTGCTCACTTGTTTTTTATACCCTACCTAGCACTTGCCGGAGAACATCGGCTCTGACGGTTATGGATTTCTTTACCCATGTTTTTCACTGTACCTTTTCTTCACTTATGTAGTAGTTGTACTACTTGTTACAAAATGTTCTTACTTGAATGCAGAATGGATTACACAACAGGTTTTTTTTTTTGAGCAACTGTGTTGCCTTCTCTCTCTCTTGTCCTTTTGAGACAGTATCTCACTATGCAGTTTAGGCTGGCCTTGAGCTCACTTTGTAGCCCAGGCTGGCCTCTTAATACCAAACAATTGTCCTGCCTCAGCCTCCCAAATGCAGGGATTACAGGCATGTGTCACCACACCTGGTATCTGTGTTGCCTTCTAAGAAGAATATTTCCAGTTTTGTTTATATCAGTTAAAACATATGTTGCTTATATTTTCTCAAAAGGACATACTAGTGATTTTTTTAAAAAAAGATTTAAAAAAAACTATCTTTTTTCACCTGAGGATGAGGAACATATACTTTTATAGTAGTAAACTGCTTTGCCCTTGGGACTTCTAAATTGTCTTTCTAATAATATAATTCCTCTGTATAAATGTGCATTGAGGTTGTATTCCTGGGAGTAGGCCTACATCAGCTTTTCTTATCTATGCCTCATAGTTTAAGACAAAGAATTGCAATCATGAATACATTTATTATAAGGTGAGAAATAAATGTTAACTCCCCGGTCTTTTTCTCTCTTTTAGCCTGCTTTTGAGGTTCACAGATGATACTTTTGATCCAGAACTTGCAGCAACGATAGGTAAGCCTAAGTTTATTTATTTATTTGCAGTACAGGGGATTGAACTCAATCCTAAGTTTAAAAATTCAGCAGAAATGCCATATATTTTCTTGCCTTTAGGCTGTTTTGTCAAAATGCCACTACCTTTCTATCACCATCTCACTGCTTCCATGTCTGTTAAAATCTTATTTGTCTTTCTAGATTTCACCTGAATAATACAACTTCCTTACAGTTCATCTTGTAGTACTTTATGATCCCAACAATATAAATTCCATATACACATCATTTTACTCTTTGTTTTGTAGCATATAACAATAATTTAGGCACTGTCCTAAGTGGTGAAGCTGTAATGATTAATAATACAAACCTGGTTTCTACCATTGTGGACCTGATAGTACAGTATGTTAATTTTGTATTTCTAATGTTTGGTATAATATTTGACTGGTATTTGAGACTATTTTATTCATATTAGTTATTAAAGATTATCAGCCAGGTATAGTGGTACCCATCTGTAACCCCAGCTCCCTGAGAGCCTGAGGCAGGAAGATGGCACGATTGAGCCTTGCCTGAGTAACACAGGGACTTAGGAAGACCTGTCTCAAAAAACCAAAAAACTAGTTTATATATATGGTTGGGAATGTCAGAATAAATACCCCTAGTTCAGTCCCATTATAATAAGAAACAAACAAAAAGGTTACTAATAGTAATAATGATATAGTTTTTTTTTTTTTAAATAACATTTAATATTTTGAAAGTGCGTATTCATCACATGTTAGAATGTATGAGAAGGGGTATTTTGGTATCACATATTTTAAGAGTAGAAAACTGTATAAAGGTATTGAAAGACATTTTGGAATAGTTGAAAAATAAAGATGAGTGGAGTTAGGCCTGGATCATCCTCTCAGCTGAGACTCAAAAGAGATGTGATACTTGAGCAAGTCATTGGATTTTATTATGTTCATTTGTAAATTTGACAGATTTGGAAAGAGATAGTACATTTTATATACCAATTCTAAAATTTCTTTTGGGAGATAGCTAAGCAGCGTAAGTGCCCACATGGCAAGCTCAAGGTCCTGAGTTTGATTCCTGGTATTTAAAAAAAAATTCATAATCTGCTGAAAAAGATTACAGTAATGAACCTAGTATTATTATTATGGAAAATAAAAGGTTTATTTTAATTGGTATTTTTCTTTATTAAAATAATTATAGACTTAGAGATAGGTTCCCCCGCCTTTGGTACTAGGGTTTGGGACCTTGCACTTACCAGGCAGGTGCTAATGCCACTGAGCTATTTCCTGGACCCTAGAGATAGGTTGTAAAAATGGCAGAGATCTATTTATTTATTTATTTATTTATTTACGGAACCGGGGGATTGAACTCAGGCCCTTGCGCTTGCCAAGGAAGCGCTTATTCCACTGAGCCATCTCCCTGGCCCCCAGAGATTTATTTATAATACCCACATTTCCCAAATGTTATGTTTTATTACATTTGCCTTAATCACTTTTTTCTCTGCATATATACAATTCTTTTTTTTAAATAAGTAGAGAATAAATTATAGAAATGATGTCTTTAACATTTAAATAATTTAATGTGTATTTCTTTTTGTTCTTTTTTTAAAAATTTTTTTTATTTTTATTTTTGCAGAACCGGGGATTGAACTCAGGCCCTCGCGCTTGCCAGGGAAGCGCTTATTCCACTGAGCTATCTCCCTGGCCCCAAAAATGGAATAAGGATTTTTTCTTTTTTTTTCCTCCGAATGCCTTCAGGGCAGATTTGTCTGGCTTGAGTTGAGGGGATTGAACCACAGCTTTTTTTTTTTTTTTAAGCGGAGGTTATGACCAGAATATATTTATTGGGGGAAAGAAAGCTCTTGTCCAAGAGAGAGACAGGAGGGGTACCCCAAGTGTGTTGTCCCTCTAATGTGTATTTGTTTTGTTTTGTTTTGTTTTTTTTTTTCTAATGTGTATTTCTTAAATGAACATAAATATAATTCTGTCTACAGACAGATTTTGCCAATTATTCCATTTGGACTCTGCATAACAAAAGTATTCCTGGATTATGATCTTGCCCAAGGGAAAACATTAAATTTAGCTGTCATTTCTTGAGTCTCTTAATGTCAGTAGTTCTTCAGTCTGTCTTTTGTGTCCTGGACAGTTTTAAAGAATACAGGGCAAGGGGCTGGCCAAAAAGCTCTGTGGACTAAAGCGCCTGTTTAGGCAGATGTGGGGGCTGGGAGTTTGATCCCTGGTGTGCCCTGCCGGACCCACCCCCAGGGCACACTGAGACCGAGATTGAGACTGGGCATGGTGTTTGTTGCTTGCCTGTAACCCCAGCTCTTGGGAGGCTGAAAACAAGAGGATCACTATCAGTCCTATTTGTGTAATGTTGCCCTCTAGACCTTGTACTAATACATAAAAACAAACTCAATTTGTGCTTATCCAGTGTGTTCTCATGGTTACATTCTAGTGAATATTTTTGTCAGGAATTCTATTTTAAGTGCTTCCATATGTCAAGGTATGCAGCATGTATTTGTCACAAAACTATTGATGGAGGTTGCGGTTTATCATTTAAGGTGATAGATATCAGGTGTCTCTTTGGTAAAGTTATTATTTTTTCCTTAGTAACTAGGAGTTTTTTTTTTTTTTTTTTTAATGTATTTAGTACAGGGTCTACAGGTCTCATTACACAGATAGAACTCCTTATGATCCTCCTCTTTTCAACCTTCCAAGCACTGGGATTACAGGTGCATGCTACCACACCCAGTCTCAGTTACAGTCTCAGCGTGCCCCAGATTTTTTCTTTTTGGAGACAGGGTCTTACTGTGTGTGCCGGCTAGCCTCAAATTCATAGCATTCTCCTGCCTCAGCCTCCCAAGTGCTGCAATTACAAACATGTACCATGAAAAAAACTTTTGAGACTGTATAGATATCCTGGTTTACTGTGCTTGTTTTAGCGTTTATTGATGTCTTACCTGCAACAGGTAATAATGGTTGGCTGGTTATCAAATAATTTTTTCAAATAAATGTATGTTTGCCTACTTTTCTCCCTCCCTCCTTCCTATTTTGTCTTTTTGGAACAGGATCTCACTATGTAGATCAGGCTGGCCTTGAACTCAGAAAGAGAGATCTTCCTGCCTCAGGCTCTCAAGTGCTGGAATGAGTGGTGTGTGCCACCGCACCTGGCCTTTGAATATCTTTAAAAAAGTGTCTTTCACATCTAAGCATTAGATTACATTTGCCTCCCATTAAAATCAATACACACATGAGCTTTAAAAATAAAAATAAGCAGCACAATTGTTAGTGTCCTTGTTGTGAAAATTAGTGTTGTATAAAAAAATTATTGTAAAATAGTAAGGGAAGTATATCAATTATTTTTCAGTAAAATAAATTTAAATTGCTATCTTGTATAAGAACTGTTAGGATAATTCTTAGGTTTTGTGTTTGATAGTGGTACTGTAATGGCATTTTGTTCTGTGGCAGTAGCTAAAACAAACGAGAGAAAAACAAAACAAACCCAATAGTTTCCTAAACTACAAGACTGTAAAACTCCAAGCCATTGCCAGACATTGTGGTGCATGCCTTTAATTGCAGCACATGGGAGGCTGAGGCAGAAGGATTGTTGTCAGTTTGAGACCAACCTGGGCTCCAAAGTGAGATCAAGGTGAGTGTGAACTGCATAGTAAGACCCCCGTCTCAAAAAAGACAGAAAGAAAAAGAAAACTCCAGCCAATAAATAGGTGGAGTTGCTACCTAGAACTGGAGAGCTTAACAGTGTTGCATGTGGAAAGAAGTAGGGAGAGGATTCCCTGGACTGTAGACAAAGCACAGGTAGACTAAATCTTTCACTTACAAAAGCAAAAAGGCTTGCTTCAGAGAAGGAAGGGCAGGAGTTTACACGTGGCTGAATTCTAAGAAGGTGGGAAGATATAGCCAGGGAGTCACACAGACACCATTTTTCCAGGAAGTGCTCTGTCCGTCTACACAGCAGTGGGGGCTGAGATGACTTTGCACTGTGATAAAACTCCCAGAATGCCCATCTTCTTTGGGTGATAAGTAAAATACAGTGCTTATCTGAAAGAACAGGCAGGTACATTTCTGAATAAAATAACTCATTTTAAAAGCCTATGAAATTGCTTTGCAGAATCAGTCTTGGACTTGGCAAGAAAGTAAATGGTAAATTAAGAAGTAGAGATTTTACAATATACAATCCCTGATAATATTTTTGACCTATTATGTTCCTGTCTTATGACTGGATAGAAATATTACTTTAAGTTATCATACATTTAAACATTGAGACTTTTTGGGTAGACAGTTCTTTGAATTTTAATATAATGTATTAAAACATACATATGTATAATCATGTAATTGACATTAGTCACGATACTAAAGTTTTTTTTTTTTTGTGGTACCGGACTTTGAACTCAGGACCTTGCACTTGCCAGGTGGGGGCTCAGGCCACTGAGTTACCCTGGCCCAACATGAGGTGAAGAGTTTTTTTTTTTGTTTTTTTTTTCCTTTTTCCTTTTCCCCCAAACAGTTCCATCATTCTAGAAAATTGCCTGGTAGCATCCCTTTGTACTCATACTTTTCCCTTAGTCTAGCCCCTGGTACACTGATAATGGACTCTAGTTTCTTTTGTGGTAGTGGGTGTTGAATCCTGTGCCTTATGCATGCTAGAAAAGAGCTTTGACACTGAGCTATAACCCTCTTTTTTATTTTTTGAAATTTTGAGGCAGGATCTTGTTGAAGTTTCCCGGACTGACCTTGAGTTAATCCTCTTACCAACTTCCCTAGTAGCTATGATTACAGACTATGTGGCATAATTTTGTCTTTCTGAGAATATCACAAAGATAGAATAATATATAGTATGTAAATTTTTCAAACTGATTTCTTTTGTTTAGGCTGAGTCATTCATTACTTTTTATTGCTGAATTGAATTCCATTGCATGGGTGTACCACAGCTGGTTTATCCATTCACTAGTTGCAGGACATGTGTGTTCTATTTTTTTATTTTTTATTTTT